AGGGGCTGGCGGACCGCGGTGACGGGGGCTGCGTCTCCGGGGACAGCTGGTCCAGGGCGGCCATGGCGGTGTCCACGTCGGCGTCCTCGTCCACCTGCTCCGAGTTCGTGCGCTGCTGGCCCCAGGAGAACTTGCGGTCCTTCATCCGCTCCTTCTCGGAGATGGCGCGGCCTGCCTCCTCCGCCATCAGCAGCTCCGCCTCGGCCTGCGAGCCGCCCCTGCCGCGGCCCTGCGCCTCCCCCTCACCGCGGTCGCTGCTGGAGTCGCAGGACAGGAACTCGTCCTCTGACGGGCTCCGGTCACCCTCCCGCTTCTCATCTGTGTCGCTCGAGTCCGAGTCCCGAGCCTCAGTCAGCGCCACGGCCGCCACGACCGGCTCCTTGAGCTCCTCGTGCAGCTGGTCCATGAGGCAGCGCAGGAACTCCTGGGTGTCCTGGAACCAGGGGCTGCTGTCGGCAGGGGCGGGCGACCAGCCACAAGCACCCCGCTGCTTCTGCTGGCGGATGCCAGGGGCCCTCATGGGCACCCCTCCCAGGGGCCGCCACAGCAGTTCTGCCCTAACCGGCTTCTACCGCGGAGGACACCGAGGGTCCGAGAGGCCGACCCCTCCCAGGCCTCGCAGCTGTGAGGTGGCAGAGCAGAGATCCAGACCCAGTCCACCTGACTCCCCAGCTCCTGCTCATCATCGCCTGTTGCCCTGCTTCCAATCAGCAAGGAGAGAGCAGACGTATCACATTCAGCCACTGAAGTCACCCTGCCTTCTAGAGGAGGGGACAGTGAGGTAGGCGGGAGCCCACTGACAGGTGACACTGAGGGCATGTGCGCACGGGAGCGCTCAGTTGAGTTCTGCAGGGAGCAACGCCACAGGCAGGCCAGGCCACCCGCATCCTCGACTCTGCCTCTGGTTCCCTCTGCTCACCCAAGCCTTCCGCCAGCCCCCGTGCCCACACCTTCCCTCACCGTTGTGACCTGTGGCAGGACAGCAGGCTTTCCAAGGGCCTGGGCATGAGTCAGACTAAGCTGCCACTTCAGGCTGGCTGGCTCGCAAATCTCGCTGTTACTCTGACTACTCCGTGACTAGGTCGCAACCCAGCAGGAAACCAGTGAGGCCTTTGGCCCAGACTGTGCACTGCCAAGTCAGGAGCAGGGAACACGGGAGGTGCTTCAAAAGCTCAGAAGATGATGGTGGCCGGCCTCTGACAGCTGGGGGAACTCAGTGCCGTGAGGGGCCACTGGGTTCAAGTCCAGTCCTGACCCTCACAAGTCCCCGACCTGGATTGAGAAGCAGCCCCCTGGCCCAACTCCTATCCACATGGGGCGGGAATCATGCAGTGGCCAGACCCAGCCAAATACCAAAGAAAGGCTCAGGTCACTGATACGGAGAGAGGGGCCTCGTTTTCTCAGTTCTAGCAGAGGGAGGGCAGGGCTCTGGATGGATTTCCTTAGGCAAAGTGTCAAATACAAAGATCAGAGAAATTGACCACCAGCTCATCTAGCATTAGGGAGTCGGGGAGGAGACGTGTCCTGTTTCATGGGCACTGAAAGGCTCTTTTAAGAAACAGGCCCTCAGTACATCATCTACTTTTCTTTCCAGTTCTCCCTTTTAACAAAAGTACCCTGTATTCATTGCTCAAATCTCAAGCCATGTGGAAGCAAGACAGCATCTTCTGGCCATTAAGAGATGCTTGTAGGTTCCAGACTCAGAAATGTACTTTTTGTCCAAGAACCAGAGAAAGGGATGCTTCTGGAGTCTGGGTGGATGTCAGGCCACAGCCAAGTGGCCCTGCTCCATGGTGTCCTCTCTGAGACCTGAGGGCCAGCAGGGTGCCTTGTACAGTGAGGGCCGCACTGTGGCGAGGCCTGAATCCCATCCCTGCCGCCATACCCTGTGTGGCCTGAGCGGGCTGTAGAACCTCGCTGAGCCTCAGCCCCTCACCTGTAACGCGGGGGTGCCGACAGGGCCCACCTCCTGAGAGCTCTGTGAGGATACACAGGGCTGTACTTATGTGGCAGGAGGTGATCACTTAATAAACGGTGCCACAGGGATTCTGGTCACTGTGGATCTTACCACTCCCCCAAAAGGGCGATGCTCAGGCCACGCTGGGTCTCTCAGGCAAGAGCCTGGTGTTCATCCAACTGAGGGTGTGAGCAGAGAATCGCCCAGCAGCTCTCATCCTGGGGAGGATGGGGGCAAGGTGGTGGGGGCTGAAGGGGGATCCGAAGGCATTCAGGCAGCAGCACTGGCCATGCAAACAGGTGCGGCCCCAGCTGCAGCCCAGCAGTGACACCCCAGGCCACAGGGCAGGCTAGGGCAGGGACCTGGGCCCCACGAATAGCCAGCTTGGGCCGGGGGAGGTGTGTGGCTGCATTCTGCTTCATCTTGGTCCTGTGATTTTATGCCATAGAAAGACATCACCGGCTTCAAAGGGGTTTCTAGAGTTACAAAAACTTGCCATCAAAACGTTTAATTTAATAAATGTGAAATTCTGCCTGGGGTTTGAGCAATGAGAAATCATGGGCTGTTCTGAGTGAGTGCTGAGGCACGCAGACCTGGAGTCAAGACTCCTAAGGTCAGATTTTCCCTCTGCTGTGTGCCAGCTGTGTAACTGGTCCGTGGTAACTGAGCAAGGATTTTGCTGCTGAGCCTCAGTCTCCCCATCTGTCAAGTGGGGAGAGCACCAGCAGGTTGCTGGGAGGCTCCGACAGCCTCATACACAGAAAGGGCTCAGGCAGCAAGTCTGGTCCAGGAGCCCCACCCTGCAACGCTGAGCTGCTGCTGCCGTTTTCCACACTGGTCTTGGCCTCAAAGCCAGGCCTGGCAGGTTCTAGCCTGGGTGTCCCCTGGGCAGCATGGATGGCCTACCTGCTGAGCATAGCCTCGAAACATCGGGTTGACCAACTTGATCCCATGGGACAGGCTGGTGGGAACCACGTAGCTGGGGCTGTAGGAAGACCAGACGTGTTAGTATAGGGGGCCTGCTCTGAGTGACTCAAGCCCACGAGGGCTGGCAGGCAGCCACCCCACCAGTCTGGCCAGCCCAGAGCTCCTGATTGGGATGGTGTCCATCCCACCAGCCCACGACAAGCCTACCTTCAAACTGTTTTCATTCTAAAAAAGTTTACTGTGGTTTTCTAATTTCAAAGGTAATATGTGTTCATTATTGAAAACCAGAAAACTTCAAAAAAAAAGAGGAAGAAGGATCACCACTAACAGCACCACCCAGAGATAACTGCCATTAAGTTTTCCAGATTTTTCTATGAAAAGACAGACGCATACACAAAATTATAGGCAGATAAACACTTCAACTTTGGCTTCTTAAAATTGGAATTATATTGCATCATACTGTGTAATAATCTGCTTTTATATTTAGTATATGTCCATATACTCATTTTAAATTATTCCCAATTTTAACTTTTCCTGGAGAAATAGCTCTAACCCAAGCTTCTGGTTTAACCCTTTTACACTGAGCTGGAGCCCCTGATCGGTCAGGGCCCAGCCACCACTTCCGAAGTCCTCCTCTACGTGCACAGCTGTGGCCGAGGCCTAGAAGTGGTCACCATGTGTCTCGGACCTCGGCACACACACTGCGAAGTGGCTGCCAGCTCCAATCAACACCAGGTTCAAGTTCTAGCTCCACCTTCACAAGATGTGTTATCTTGAGCAAGACACTTAAATCTCCCTGAACGTCAGTTCCCCGATTTGTGAAACGCGGTTAGCTGGGACCCACACCTCCACGAGCTGTCGTAAGCATCACACAGGGTAAAGGGCTTTGTGAGAGGCTGAAGGCATAGGATGGTCTCTATCAAGGCATGGAAAGAAAACTCGTCCCCACACCCCTGCCCAGGGTCAGGGACTCGGTCACTCACCGCTTCCTGTGCCAGACCTCAGACACCAGCTTCTGGTAACTTTTGCACAGGGCGGGCTTCTTGTCTGTGCGCACCAGGCCTCCACACTCCAAGAAGAACTGGGTCAGCGGAGGGCTGGGGGCGGGGCCGGCGGCCAGGTCAGAAGAGCAAGGAGGGGAATATGGCATCATTTAGAAACAGCCAGGTAGGGAAGCAAAAGCTTCTTGTATGGGACGGACCGTGGCAGACTGGAACCAGAAATGCCCACGGATGACCTGAAGGACCGCACCTGTTAAAGGCTGAACTGTATCCTTCAAAATTCATACGTTGAAGTCCTAACCCTCACACCTCTGAATGAGATGGTGTTGGGAAACGGTATAAATGAGAGAGGAACCATCGCCTGCTCCTCCCGTCTGTGGAAACCCTCCCCAGCCTGAAGGCATCTCCTCTACTTCCCTTTTCTTTGTTATTGTTATCCAGTTACATAAGAAATATACATTCATTGTAAAAAAAATTAGAAAATACAGATAATTATTGACCTCAATCCCACTATGTGAGGATAGCCACTCGGAAGATTTGGAGGCATATCCTCCTAGACTTTTCCCCCATCCGTCCCTCCTTCTCACACACACACACACACACACACACACACACACACGACCAC